GGCTGTGGGGAGGGGGAAGACCTAATAAACTAGAGGTTTGTCATATTGGTGAGAGGAATTAATGCGAAGAGTTGGTTACCCTGAGAATATTGCACCCAAATGTATTTGCTGAGTTGACTGTCTAGAATACCTCTCTCAAACTTCCAGTGCCTGCAGGCTTACAGGGCATTGGGTGTGTTTAATGTCCATCACACTTGAGTAAACTTGTGTTGGAACTAGTACAATCTTCAAGGAAGGAAAGTTCAGTCATGTTAATGTTTTTTAAATTGGCCTTTCTAGCTTGCCAATCTCAAAAGTTACTGTTCATTGTCTGTTCTTTGAGCTGTCAACCCCTTGCTTTGAAGTATCTAGTGAGGATAGAAGTGTGAATTGCTGGACAAACTGAGAGCCAACCATTTAATAAACAGTCAGAGCATGACTGCAAAGAAGACTGTAACATTAGGTGCATCAGCTGACTATAGAGCCCTCTAGAGGATTTCTAGTACTATCAATAGTGTTAAGTTTCACAATCAAACTAATACAACTCAAAGGGGAAATGAGATGTTGTCATTAGAATGTCTTAGCAGGCTGTGGTGGGTCTTGTATTCCTAACACAGTTGCTTAAATTCTGCCAATTAATACCACGTTTCCATGTGTGTGACTAGGGATGTTACATTTAGTTTAATCAACTTGTTTCCCAGCTTGTGCCTGGTCCTGCTGCTCCTCTGCCCCCTGGCAGAGACGGTGTTGGGGGGGAACTGACTTAAGTGACTAGTCACTTACATCCTTAGTAATGACTTCTTAGATGATGTTGATTAAGGACAAGACACTTCAGCTTTCATTTTTCACAGGTTCTTTAAACTCTTGCTCTATTCATGCCTAGTGTTAAGCTATTTAAACAAGTGTCTTCAATTTCCAAATTCTTTGGGGGGTGGGTGGTTTTGAGGATGCACATGAACTGCTCCTGCCAGATGGTAGTCAGCTGTGAAATTTGGATAGGGGATCTTCTAGAGCTTGGGGGGGTGGGTGGGTGTGTGTGTGTGTGGTGGTTTTTTGGTGTGGGTGTAGTTAAAACATGCTAAATTGAATTTGGAGGGCGCTTCCATTGGTGGCCGGTACTTCTGTTCCTGCAAGGAGTAAGGGAAGTCAACAAGACACTTGCTCCTGTTGGCCTTCTGCTGTGGGGAAACTTGAATCAAGATATGTTTATCCAGCTACATAATTAACATTAATTGCTGGAGTTGCGTGTCTTGATTTGACTTTCCCCGTTAGTGTAGACCTGGCCCCAGGAAAAATAGGGTTAAAGAACATGAAACTTGAAGTTGCTACCTGGTCTTCCTATCTGAGTAGGCTGCTCCAGTACAGGTGGGGTTTCAAATCCCTAAACTCGTAGAAATCTTGATCTATGCAAATCTTGTGAAAATGTTAGAAGCCCTGGGCACCTGCAGAACCACTACATGTCCCACTGTGTTCCTCCCTGTACTGTCATGATCCCTGCAAAGCTAGTTTCCTAAACTAGGAGTAAGTCCTGAAAGATGACTAGGACAACATGATATAGTTAATACCTGTCTGCTTTGTAAAAGGGCAGTGAGTGGCTGTAGTACCTTTCTCTCACTGAATCTGGGGAGACCTCCTTTAGCAGCTTTCCTATGAAAGGAACTTCATCCCCTTGCCAGACCAAGCCACAGAATCACTGTGGGGTTTCCTGTGTCATGAAGGGGAGCACTTAGTTTAATAGAGACATGGCTTTGTTGAAGGATGCAGAAATTAAAGTGGGCAATAGAACTGGTATTCAAAAGGAAACCCTCAAGGAAAGGAGAATTCTGTGCAGCTGCAATGGGGACTGATGGAACAAAAGTTGGGAAAATGCAGAATCTGAGCTGTATGTGCAGAGCTCTGGAGTACCATGTTTGACACATTGGCCAGTGCTGTGGAAAACCATCCTGTGTAGTCAGGCATGGGCTAAATTAAGTGAACTGAGATTTTTTGTGTGAAAGTAATTGGATTAAATACTAATTTTGTGTGGGGCATAAAGCCAAATGGCTGATTTGAGGAGTTATGGCCATAACTGGTGTGGATTTTCATACCAACAGTGTGACTCTTTTGTTCATTTTTTAACGGAGCAGAATCCTTTTTAACATGTCTCTTTAGTATTACACTGAACTGTTAGATCAAAGATATTTTCTTGGATACCAGTTGGGCCTGCCGTTGCTATATGATGCCCTAGATAAGAGCCTCTGGCTTTTTAAACTTGCCCATGGGTGTATACTTAAATTAAGGCTACAAATCAGATGAGAGCTACCCAAAGTCCCTGCTGGGAGATCAGACAGTGACCTTGCATTGCTTTGCTTTTGCTCTTTCCATCTGGCCTTGGTCTCTCTCCTTCTTAGCTTATGCTGCTGACCTCTGCACATTCCAGAGGAAATTTCTTCAGCGTTTTTAACTCATTCCCCTCTTCTCCCCTCACCAGAACCACATAGTAGGAGATCCTAAGGAAGTTCTTGCTCTCCCTTGGAACTGATGCCTGTCAGAGCTGCAAATGTTTTCTTCAGGCCTTCTCGCTGTCTTCTGCCACCAGAATCTGCTACATTTTACTCAGCTTGGGGTTCATTTGTTAAATCTCACATGCATTGCATATGTCTCAGATTGCCTCTCCCTGCAGCTCCTTGCCTCTCCAAGCTATAGTACTGAGACCCTTAATGCCCATGCTCCACAGAATTGCCAGCATTCTGGAACGGGATTATCAGGGGGACTTCAGGATGCATTGACGTAGGCAGCTCCCTGAGTCTGAATAAAGCTGCCACTGGCTCCAAAGCCATTGAGTGGCTTTGACGTTTTACTTGGCTGCTGGAAAAACTCACTCGCAGGCAGGGTATATTTAAGTCCTCCTAAGGAAGAGAAATTCTTCAGGCTTCCAACGCATAGGCAGTCTGCTAAACAGCTCAGCATTACTTGTACAGGGCCCAAGGCTGGCAAGCAGACAGTTATTCCAGACTGCTGATACTGAATTATGCAAACACTCTGCCTGAATAAATGTGCAATAAGAGAATGGTTGGCTTCTCGTACAGCTTCTATGTTAGTGCTTTTGTGTTGGCTTGTGGTGAATATTGGTACCATGTACAGAAGAAGAAATTCTAGTTGCACATGAGATGGGCTCAGTGTCCTGCTTTTTGTATTCCAGTTGTGATTGTGTGGCGTTCAAAGAACAGACTAGCTTACCACCAGTGTAGTAAGATGAGGGCCTAAAACATAAGCCTGGTCTGAGGTCTAGACTGCAATGGTTAACATTCTGTTAATATAAAGCAAAGAGAAGCTATAAGAAAGAGGCAGGCCCTTACCACCATCTTCACTGCTTTCTTCTGTCTTTACGGTTTTCTAATGCTAAGAATTGCTTTAGCCTGTTCTCCTGCTATTTACAACATCTGGGCACAAGTACAGTCTCAAAATGCAAAGGTATTTTTGCCTCCTGGGTGGGGGGGGGGAATCAGAAAATACTGGACATTTTAGGTGTCCAGTATTTTCTCAATTTTTTTTTACTGGACAGGAGGCAAAAATACCAGATTGTCCGGGACAGTGCAGGACACCTGGCAACCCTAGTTATAGTCCTTGTCAGCAATATCATGGTGTGAATTACCTTAAATTCATCTGCAGAGACGATGGGTTTTGGCAGTGGTGTAATTACACATGAACATCAGGTTTTCAACAGATGCACTTGGTATGCTCCTACCCCTAGTATCTAGGTACTGTAGTGGCCTGTAAAGGTCATAGATACAATGACATCTAAACTACTTTGCACAAACAACTTTAAATCTGGAGTTGAACTTCTGCATGCCCAATGCTAAAAGGCTGAGACTGTGTAACTGCAGGTTTGGCTCCCTAATGTAATCTCATTCCCCAGGACCCCTGCCTTGCTCAGTGCACAGTATGGCATGCTCATGGAATGGTTGCTACTGAACAGAAATTCCTTGCAAAACTTGCACAATAGGGATGGCCTTATCGCTGTGCATGCATCTTAGCAACACTATAGCAAAACATTAAGCGACTCTTTACCTGCCTTATATTCTGTATGATAAGAATGGCCACACTGACTCTCATCAATTGTCCCTCTAGCCCTGCCTGCTGTCGCCCACTAGTGCAAGATGCTTATAAGGGAATGGAAAGGGCAATTTTATTGGCTGATTCATCTTCTGTTATCCAGTCCCAGGACCCAGCAGAGAGCAGTGTAGGAACATTCAGAGTATGGGGTTATGACCCTGACCATCTTTGGCTAATAGCCATTGATGGATCTATCCTCCACGAAATATTTGTTGTAATCCTCTGCCAGAGTTCCACAGGCTGTGTTTCATGAAGTACTTAAGTACTTGCTTTTGCTTATGTTAAACCTGCTACCTGTTAATTCCATTGAATAGACTCTGATTTGTGTTGTGAAGGGATAAAACCGCTTCACACTAGTCATGATTTTATAGATGTCAGTCTCCCTCAATTGTCTTTTTTCTCCTAAAGTAAATGGTTCCAGTTTCCTTGGTCTCTTACCATTTTTGTTATCCTTAATACCTTTTCCTATTCTAATAGCTTTGGAGATGAGGCTACAAGAACTGCTCACAGCATTAAAGGTGTAGGTGTGCCATGAATTTATATAGAGGCATACCATTTTTTGTCTTCTCAATCCCATTCCTAACTTCTTTGACTGCTGCACATTGGAGCAGGTATTTTCAGAAAACTGTCCAGTGACTCCAGAATCTTGTGTGGCCATAGCTAATTTTGTATGTTTTAGAGTACATTTTGCTATGTGCATTACTTTGTATTTATCAACACTGAATTTATCTGGCATTTTGTTGCCCATTCACTTAGTTTTGTGAGATCCCTTTTGTAACTTCTCATAGTCCATTTTGGATTTAACTATCTTGTGTAATTTGTATTGTCTGCAAATGTAATAATCAATGAGCCTAATCATATTAAGGTTTAGGCATTTGAATGTTACCCCAAAATCTATCTAACCTTCAGTCTTCATTACCTTACAGATGCTGTTGATGGGGTGATGAATGGTGAACTCTACCAGGTAAATTGAAAGGTTATCTATCTTGAACAGCAAAAACCTGTTGGGTGGAATTAGAATACTTCTTAAGCTGCTTCTCAGACTGGTTTTAGCCTTTTCATAGTGGGATTACTTGTAGCTTAAAATATCTATCTTAGTCTAAATAAGTGTTCCCCACTGCTTGCCGCCTTACTAAACGGAATCTCCTAATTTATTAATGAAAGGGTGGGGGGAACCCTCATCAGTGTAATCTTGTAATAGTCCGCAATTCCATAGTTTACTGGCAATTAAAGTACAATCCATCTTCAGGTGAAAGGCCAGTGACAAACAATCCATGTTGACATAATATTGTAATCGGTAACATGCCTTCTTCTGGGAAGAGCACCATGTACTTTGGACCCATGTTAAGGCTGGCTCTGCATTGCTAGAGATGCTCTGCTTCCCTTAGTCAGTGCTGATCTGGATTAAACTTGTTATCTGGGTATGAGCTACAGATTCTGTGGGGTTCTTGAAAGAGCAGAGGAGAATTAAGTTTGGCAGAATTCAGTGTTTTGTAACAACACGTGTTTAAGTATATACTTTGTATACAAACTTTCAGTTGTAAGGACTTGCAGGGGGCATCAGACAGTTATTTAATGACAGATGTTGAGATTCAAAGTTAAAGCTTTATCACCATTAAAACACTTGGCAAAACAACTTAGTTTAATTAGATATTATTTATCTTCTTTGCCCGATAAAGTAAATCTTTTATCAGTGGAAATGTTTGTATATATTCTGTTTATCAATACTGAAAAATCCAGCCCTTCTAAATCTAGGGATAACACTTGTTTTGGTCTCTTTTTCACAGTAAGTAATTGTAACTTAACATTTAAACTTTTTTATATAGCCTAAAGACCCAATCTGTTTCCTATGCTTCCTGCATTATTAGGACCAAACTTGTTGTGTTTTCTATGTTTTTAAAATAGCTTGGATTATTTGGCTAGTGGTTCAGAACACTGGTCAAAGCTTGCAATCAAGCATGAAAGACCTGTAATAGATACTGCTCTATCAAGTGGCAAAGCAGAAACAAATTTTGGCTAAGACTCTTCTAAATAGGGATGGTAGTGCAAAGACTGGCTAAACCACTCCACAAACAGCTCTTACAGGTGTGAGAAGACTGTTTGGAGTATACTGGAACTTAACTGTGACCTAAAATTGCCCCTGTGGTTAACTTCAAATGTTAATTGTTGATGTTGATGCTGTTGCTTCATGGGGCCAAATGAGTCCTTAGATGAGCCTGTTCCGATGAGTGGTTGGCCTTTGGTCAAGCCACTTCAGTTCTGCCATCTAAATTAGGGATGTTGAAAATTTGTTTAACTATGTAACCACTAAAATTCTTAGTAGTTACAGTTACTCAGTGCTCCCCAGGGGTCAGGCCTAGCAGCTAGTGTGCTCAAGGCCCCATTCCAGGGAGACCACTGCCATCCCACACTACCATCTCTGACATGGGCAGCAGCAGCCTCTGTCCCCGTTGCATCCGGGCTTCTCACATTAACCGGGTCCCACCTGCCAACTCATGCTGCTGCCTCTGTATCAGAGGCAGCAGTGCGGGGTGGCAAACAGCTCCCCTGCATGCTCTTCATTTAAAACTCAGACCAACAGGCTGGTACTCAGCCAGCCTGCCAGTCTGAGCTGTAAATGCAGAGCATGTGCATGAAAGGGGAGGGATTGTTGCAACTAACTGGGACTGTAAACTGTTGCTTATTGGTTACCTGGGTAACTGTTCACTGTGGATATAGACTAGGTTGGCTAACAGTTCATTTTGCAATGTTGCTTGAGGCTCTGAAGCGAATATAGAACTGATCTCTGGACTCTTTCTTGTGGCTAAAGTGAGAGCTCCTGGAATTAAAACTAAGCACTATCACTCATGCCCCTGGAAGGAATATTTTCCTGCTTGTATGCAATGGACAACACCTGAGTGTAGAAGACGAATGGTATTTTCAGGGCTTTGACATCTGAAAAGTAGCCAATGAAACTTCAATGCTTTTTTCTTTAATCCCCTTCTGTCCAATCCAACCTGGTCTAACTCCATTTTATAAAAGCTCTCAATAGATCCTTGTCCACCATAATTCTGTGACTGACTGTACAGCTTTCCCCAAGTGTGAGCTTATAATTGCTTTCTCTAGTAAACCACTTATCCTGCTGTAAACGGCTCCTGCTAGTTACCCTGGTTCATAATCCACTAGAAGCGTATGTTGCTGGCATGTCCTCTTAGCATTTGAGGCGGCTGTACTTGGGTGACATTACACTACCGTTTTGAGTACTGAAAATGGTGTTCATGCCGTTGACTTTCAAATTGTTCTGTTTGGTTAAGGAGAGCAATGGGCCAACAGACTGCTATGCCGCTATTTCACATGTGGATCGACTGCAGTCAGAACCAGAGAGTATTCGTAAATGGAGAGAGGAGCAAAAGGAACGCCTAGAAGTGCTTGGTAAGGAAACGCCTGAGGTTTTGGTCTCTTTGCAGAGAGAAGGTGGAATGTGAACAGACTCCTACCGGAGGGGAATGTTTGACTTTGCCTTGACTGACTTTTTTCTTCCTTTTTAACCCAGTTCTTGTTGACTAACAGACCCACCTAGGCTTTCTTATAATGGGGAGCTGGCTTGGCTTGGTGCTATTTGGGGTGAAGCGGGGGGAATCTTTCAGTTGCTTAGAGCCACTACAAAATTGTTCCTTAACCAATAGAGTTGTTCATATTGGAGCCTGGAGACTTGAAGGGTGTCTTGTGCACAATAGCAGCCCTCTGCCTCAAACCTGTTATGGAGCAAGCCCTGATAAAAAGAGAATGCAGAGCAAAGGGTGCTTCTGTGCTCTGCCTCTTTCTGAAAGGAGTTTCAGCACTGCATGTGCCAGAACCTCTGGGGTGACAGTAGGAACTGCTTCAAGACTTCAGCCCTGCCAGGCAGCAGTGGGCAGACCAAGATCTCTCCTCTATTTAGAGGTATGGTGTAAGTGATTTTTATGCAGGCTAGTGATGCATGGACCACTCTTCCTAGTCTATCACATTTTGTAATGAGTTCAACTGAAGCAAACAAGTCTGAGTGACCCGCCTCGTGTTTTCCTTATGACTCACATTGAAACAAACACGACTTCCGTTTTGCCAGCAAGAAATGGCAGTGAATTTAGTGCCAGTCAATGTGCAATTATAATGTGCAAGCTCTAACTAGAGCTTAGCTTGTGTGCCTAGTCTAATAGAGCACTAGAGCCATTCATTACCAAAAGATCTCTTAGTTGTTGGTTTAAGACTATTTAAACAACAATTCTTAGTGGCCTGAATTATGTCCAAGCACTGAATGTTGTCACCTAGACACCAACCAGTCTACAAGCAGGTCAATCTGGCCAATTTCCCACTTAACACATTCTCATGCTTTGGTACTCCAGTAGCTCTCCTGTATTCACATAGTGTTGGCGTGATCCTTGCCTTCACAGTGTGATAATGTGGCTACCTCTTCTGTACTACCCACTGGGAGTAGCTGGAATTGGTCTGAAAAAAAAAGTGAGCCTCTTTAGGTCATGGGTGAATACTAGGCCCCCACAACTGGCTTCCCTGGGCATTAATGAGGTATCTGACTATAAAGAGTGCTGTAGCAGCACAGAGAGAGGGGAACACCACTTGCTGACTGGCACTCCCTCCTGTGCCTTGGTTGCTGGCCGCCTTGCTGGCAGGCAGTATCCCAAGATAGGGAAGTGACAAGTATTAGTGACCTATTGTAATTGCTCTCTTCAGTAGATAAGAGTCTCCAGCATGTTACCTGAACTTGTTCCCCTAAACTCCAGGTCCCACAAACTTAATGTTCTGATTCACTGATGCCCAAAAAGTACCATTCTGGTGCTGGTACAGCTGAGAAGTTAGAGAAATGCATTAGGCAAGGTAACTGCATTACTTATGTCCAAAAATGGCTGGCTGATGCATTTCCTATCTGAACCTGGATGAGTTGGCTTTTGAAGTAGCTGTGTATGCTGGCACACAAAGCGTTAGCTGATGGTTCTCCTGCCTTGGGTTCTGTGATCTGGAGATGTCAAGGCAGATGCCTAACATCTTTGACCCAGCTGATCAGACTAGAGAGGAGTAATGGTACCACTTAACTTGTGCACTGTTGTAATTGTGATATGGGGAGGGGAAGGTTCCTGCTTGAAGTCTCAGACATGGGAAGAGCCCAACGACTGTTCACAAGACCTGTCACTGTCTCTTAATCTTCAGATGCTAACTCTCTAAAGCAGGAAGCAGAGTGGAAAGAGAAGGCGATAAAGGAGTTGGAAGAATGGTATGCAAGACAAGACGAACAGCTACAGAAAACAAAAGCCAACAACAGGTAAGGATTTCCTGTAGTTCTTCAGAATGGCAGAGGTTTATGGAAGGAATTAAAAACATGACTAGCGTACTGTTGGCATCACGTGCGTTCACATTCAGTACGCTGGTCTACAGCCACTGCCAGACACTTGTGCATTTGGATTTCCTGTGAAACTGTCTTAGATGTTCAATAAGAGATCAACCGGTGTAAGTGGGTTTCTTCATAATCTTGTCGAGGGCTTATGGTTAGGATGTGACTTGGCCTAGTGACTCAGTGTAGTTAGAGCAAGCACTGAACACAAAAGGTCTTACCTTTTCTGGTTATTTGTGCTGAATGGCCTGCTCAGCCTAGCTGGTAAGAACATACTTTTGATCTTGTCTTACCCCCAGTAAACTCAATACCTCAGTACCCCCACAGGATAGGTTAAAAATTCCAACCATAAATCTTGTTCTTGACAACTGGGTGGGGAGACAATTGATTTCTTCTCAATTTAACATCTTCCATGAAAACTATCTAATGACAGGATGCATGGTGGTGTGGCTGACTTGTCCTGAAATCTGACTGTTCCCATGCTCTACTGGTTGGAGCAGGGAGTGGAGTCTTGTTCTGCCCTGGTCCTGACTAGGGATCTTAGTTACATGATTAAACAATAGCTGCACCAAATCTTAATTACATGATGATTTGTTGGTCCCCAGGGATGGGGCTGGCAGCCAGTATGCACTCCAGGCCCCACTCCTGGGGAACCCCCTGCCACTGCCTCTGTATTAGAGGCAACAGCACAGGACAGGTTGTGCTGGCATCCTGCCTCTTCTCTCTCTCCCCACTGTCGTGGGGATGGGAGCAGGAGAGGCAGCTCTGTGAAGCTGGCTCCCTGTGGGAGCTAGCTCCTGTCTCTTTGCCATCTCCCTGATACAGATGCAGCAAGGGGGGAGTGCACGTAATTGTTTAAACAAATAACCAATAAGCCCAAGTTTATCGGTTAATCCAGACAACTATGTTAACATCCCTTGTCCTGACTTGCTGTGAACCTGGCCAGTAATTCTTAACATCTGTTTCTCCTAGTGTTCTCAGCCACTACTTCTTGATGTATGTGTATTGTGTCTTAGATCACATGACCAGGATTCATCACTGAATTTGGTCTATTGGCCCAGCCTAATGATCTAGCCAAGTACTGACAGGAGTGAGATGTGAATGCTGATCCATATCCCCCTCTCAGCTGCTGAACAATGCTATAGGCATTGCTGTGGTCTTAAACTTTTAAAATTCTATCTAGAAATAGGCTTATTCTTGAGCACTTGATACCAGTCAGAATGGCTTGTCAACTAGATGGTAAAACTTGTGGGAAGTACAGGGACTTGAACACTGTACTTGTCAAGTGGTCCACTTAGTCTCTTTAAACTGTTTCCTTGGGCAACACCTTCATTGGGAGGGGTCAGTATCTCTCCCTCTCCTAACCTTTGGGAGCAGGAGAGGTGGGCCTGGTCCTTTGAGGTGGAAGAGGAGCTGAAGTGCCAGTGGGGTAGGGGAGAGTAGTATTTTTGTATGGATCAGATGGAGGCTTGAGGGATTTTACTGCCAAACTCGTGCTCCCTTACTCCTATCTCAGTAGGAGAAAGTGAGTAGCTTTGAAACTTCACTTGAATGAGGAGTAACCCATTTCTAGATGGACCTATAGGAAAGCTCATACTGTTATCAAAGCCCGTCATTTTAGCTCAGCCCTGGAGTTCAGGCGTTGTGAACTCATTGTAAGTAGGGGATGAGGTTAGGAAGGGTGTTCATACCTCTTCCATTGTGGCAATGGTAAATTTGGAAAGCACTGGCTCAAATGGATGAGATTGACCATCTTTACGGTCCTTGGGATAGCTGTTCTTTGTCACCTGGAAGTCTTACAGGAGTAACTTTCAGTGATCCTGAACGGGCCTCCAATATGGTGGATATACACACTGAACTACAGAGTGGCTACATCTGCTTTCTTACAGGTGCAGAGAGAATGTGCTTTTGTTTCAGTTTATTCTTCGTTCAGTGCAGGGACTAGTTCATTCAGTTAAGACACCATTTCAGTGTCTTAACTTCCCCCTTTCATCTTCCAATCTCTGAATAAAAACTAGATGCAAGATCTACTAGCTCTAAAATCTCAAAGGCATAGTGACTGGAAATTGGTTCACTAATTCTGAAAAGCCCACCTCTGTTTAATAAACGAGTTTGACATGCAAATGTGTGTGAGAAAATTTAAAGTAGCTTTATTCTAAAAAATGCAATTTTGGTGGGTAATCTTTTTTAATTAAGAGCTTCACACATCAAGTGAAGTTAATTTTAAAAGGCATCTGATTTTTATTTACTAAGTTAAAGATGCACTTTGGCAAGCCACAAATCTAGTGTAAAAGCTGTGTCTAATGAGCAAAATGTTTAAATTGCCACTAACCAATGAGAATCAACCTTTGGGAATCAACAGGACCAACAAAAGAAAAGGCTTTAGAGTCTGACTTCTGAGGGCAGGCCAAAAAAACAGACCTGTTTAGTCTTAAACAGACCTACTAACAGTTCTTAATGTATTTAAGTACTGTTAGAAAAAGGATGGTGGTCAGTTCTCCTTGTCTTGCAAAGGTAGGACAAAGTAGCTATTAGGAAAAGCTTTTGAACTATAAGGGTAGTTGGGTATTGGAATTGGCTTCCAAGGGAATCCCCATCATTGGATGTTAACTCTGTTCTTAATACCTCCGTCAGGGATGGTCCAGGTTTACTTGGTCTTTCCTCACTGGAGAGACCTGGACTAGATGAACCCTCAAGATAGCTTCCAGCCCTACATTTCTATGAAAATAACTAAAGTACAAATAAAAAACAATTAAAATTCACGTAAATTGAGGTTTCCTCCTCGCTGATATGAATCTCAATAAAATCAGCAGTTTAAATCAGTCCATCCTGATGATCCGATTCCCGAACTAGTTCAAAGTCTAAAGATGAAAGCTAGGTATCTTTGTCAAGTTCTTCCTCCATTGGGGAAGGCTTGATACAGAATCTTGGTTATGTGGAGCTAGAAAGTATTGACTTGAATATCAGAGTGAATCAGTAGTTAGTATATGGTTCAGTACAGTTCTCTTGTTTTTACTAACCTGTCTTCTGCTCTATTCTCTGCTTCTCATCCTTCTCTTTTCCCCTGCGTGCTTGCCTTCCTCTTGGACTACTTACTGCCTAGGGTGGCAGATGAAGCTTTCTACAAACAACCCTTCGCTGACGTGATTGGTTATGTGTATGTTGCCTAAGTACTAATTATCTCTTTGACCCTCTTCATTGTCCTTTAGAGACCGTTAACATTATGTCCTGACTACATTAAACTGAGTATTTGGAGTCCACCCCTCAGCCTTTGCTGCAGTGTATAGAGCAGTTCTTGCAGTACTGTACTTGAAGGTATTTGAGCTGCAGTACTGAAGAGTCACCTTGATCTGTAGAGGGTCACCTGAGATGTACCAGATGTTGCTTGTGCTAACCTATGCAGCATGCATGCCACCAGTAATACACTGCTGGTAAAGCATAATACTCAAGCTAAACTACAGCGAAACTAAACTCTATTCAAGCTAATTGGCCTGTTGGTTGCCCACTAAGGTGACTTATGAGCATGAAGGTAACAAACCTCTCACCCAGATGCTGCCTCTGGCCCTAGCCACCTCTAGACAAGATGGTAAATAGGAAAGTGTTACTCTCCTATGAACTAACCCGTGAGGCTGGAAGGCTTGATTTGAAGGAAATCGAAAAGGGTTTAGCTTGAGTGTTGTAGGTGCGGAGTGCTTACAGCTCCTGTTGTTGACAAGAACTTGTCAAGTTCAGCACCTTTGACTCAGACCGGTTATTCAGCACTTAACTCTGCACCCTGCTGTGCGAAAGTAGGCCGTGGTGGGGAGGAATCCAGGATTGCCCAGATTCATTGGGGCAGAAGCCCATTATGTACAACATACAAAACCAGACAGGGAAAACACTGGAGAACAATGCTGTGAAGGCAGAGAAGTAAACCTTTGACCTTTCAGTCTTGTTGTTTTTCTACTAAGCTCTGGCCTCCAGGCCCAAAGGATTGATGGTGTATCTTCTCTGCTGGGTTTAAGGATTACAATGTGGCTTTCATGTGCTTTAATTTCTTCCCTTACATTTATAGACTTAAGAGATGACCATTTCAGATACTAAAGCACCTTTTTAAACAGTAGGCTGGTTTTGTCCAAGTGAATTAAGATTGAAGTTCCAATGTGGAATTGATGCCTAACTGTAGGTGGATGTAAGCCTCAACTTGTGAAATGCTGGATTTACAGGTGGTGTTTGATCTTGTTCTGAAGTCTCTTAAAGTTTCCACTGAAACATGTGGAATTAAAATACTTGTGTCCTGTACCAGTCTCCATGTAGCCAATGTAAAAGGCAATGTGCCATGTAATGGCTGCAGACTAAAACTGGCAGCATGTTTCCTGACTGTAGACTGAGCCACTAGTGCATGTCCAGCTAGCTTATCATCTGCATTAAGCTCATTTTCATTTTCTATATCTGACTTAAACTTTCTCTCCTTGTTTCTTTTCTTGTCTTCACCTTTAAGCACAAACATAAACCATCCTTGCTACAGCCTAGAACAGTTAAGTAAAAATCTTCACTGCCCCCCTTAAGTGTCTTGTCACATGAAGTAGCAGTGTTGTAGTGACCCTTGTCTTCAGTGGTGTTTGTACCCAAACCATCCCTGTGCCCAGTGCTGCCCCTTCCCTTCCATAGGATGATCAGTCATTGCTTTCTCTGTACTGCTTGTTGGAGTAGATGGATTTGGTTTGATTCTCTCAAAACGCTTACTGCTTTTGCCCTTATGTGGCTACCAGGGACCCACTATATGCTTACTCTAGGCATCACAGGGTTACATGTGCCTTGGAGCAATGCTGCTTGCAGCATGGGGATGCCAAAAGGATAACACTGGTGCTTATGGTTGAAAACTTGATTGGCGAGAAAGGGAGCTGTTATCCTTTTAGCTGAACTGCGTTTAATCCTCCCCTCTGCCAAAATACACCTTGCAAGTCTATAGCAGATGCAAGCATGGGAGCTATGACTTCAATTCCTCTTTGATCCGCGCTGCTTCTCTACACCACTGGGAACCATCAGCACACAGTTTTACGATGGCCTACACACCTTGGACTGCTTGTAAACCAAATGGAAATGATTTCTCGTAAAACTTGCGCTTTGAGATGGTAAACTTCCAGTTGGCACACATCCAAACTATAGCAAATTTACCAAGGCATTGCTTAAATGAAATGCCTACGTCAGAGTGCCTTAAACTCTTGTGTGCGTACTTAGGCAAAGATTAACTACTCTTAAACCAAACACCTGTATTCCAACATTTTACACAGCAATTTTCTGCACTGCTTGTGCATAGTCTGGCAACCTGTTTCTGAGGTTTGGGGTAGGGGAGCTTAAAAGCCTTAAGGTTCTCAAGCAGCTGTCAGGTGACATTTTCCTATGAGATGTGTCAACTAAACCCTATTCTATGGAGGGAAAGGGGTGGCTTCCAGGGGATGTGCAGATGAGACACTAACATGTAGTACTGCATTGCTTCTAGGGCAGCTGAAGAAGCTTTTGTGAATGATGTGGAAGAAACTTCCCCAGGCACGGAGTGGGAACGTGTGGCTCGGCTCTGTGACTTTAATCCCAAGTCTAGTAAGCAGGCGAAAGATGTGTCCCGCATGCGCTCAGTCCTTATTTCACTCAAGCAGGCTCCACTGGTTCGCTGAAGGAAAAGCACAATGGAAACACTACAAATGCAATATCTTAACCTTACTCAGAGAAGCTGTGTTTGCAGTAATTGGATTAATTATGTTTAAATGTGTTTTTTGGACCAAACCTCATGAAGTATCTAGAGTTGATCATTGTTTGTGATTGCATGTTCTTCCTCCATGTTTCCTTCCTCTGTCCTGATGGGAGGAAAACCTCCAGAATTGTAGTCTCTCTATACTCTGTGCACTGAGAGATCACTTTCAACTGTACTGATATTAAAGGTCTGTTAAACAATTGAGTGTGTCCCCTCTTTCATGGCCAAAGTAGCATCCCCACTTCCCTTCTAAAGGGGAAATCCTCAATCCAGGTTATATAGGCAGTTGAGTAACTTCTCCAACTAAAGGTCTAAAACACTGGTCTTGCCTAGTGTGTGGAATTACAGTGAGGCAATAGACTACTCTGTGTGCCATCTGGCAGTGACAGAGCTGTGACTGCACAACCTTTAAAGCTAATCTCAAGCAGGTAAGTGCCTGCTTCCAACCACTACTGGAACAGATCTAGGGCCACAGCTCCAGCTGAGCGGTCTTAGCTAACTAGCACACCAGCTGGGGGAAGGAACAGGGATGGAACTGTGCTGCCCACAGACAATCTGCTATTCTTAATATAATGAAGGCCCCTGTTTGTTTTCCCAGGCACAACTGCTTGTCAGCAATGGCACAGGCTGCTGGTCTTGTGCCTGCAAGAGGTGGCACAAGCCCAGCAGAGGAATGGGAGTGAGGGGTAACCTTGCAAGTAGTGATAGGCTAAAGGCATTTAGATGATTTGAGCTTTCATGGAAGGTGGGTTGTACCCACAAAAGCTCATGCCACCATCTGCATGTTTTGTTGTTAGTCTTTAAGGTGCTACAAGACTATTTAAGTTCTTCTAGTATTTTCAGTTGCTCCTTATGCAGATAAGGGGAAGCTGTTGTTCACAGTAAGTATATACACTTACCTACTCTCTCTGAAACGATGGAGGGAGATAGTAATCACTTATACACCAGGAAACTGAGCTACATTTAAGGTGGGTTCTTTCCACTGCTTCCTAGACCAGCTAGAAGGCATGCTGGCACTAGATGAGTACAGGGATGTTCAACCAGCTCTGTTGTCAAAGGGAGGTTTGGGGGAAACAGACATGTCATGATTACACTTAATGCTTAATCTCAATTTATTAAGCATTTTTAAAAACCATATACCATTACTCTAATGGTAGAAGCCTACTACAATATAATTAAAGGCTGCACAGGCCATATGTTTCTTAAAATGGCATGTTAAATATCCCAGTAGTTTGTCATTTACAAAGCCCAGCTCTGGCACTGTGCCAGTTCATGCAGCATTACAGTGAGTGAAGTAGCCAGACAACAACTAAGGGCTTAAGTACCAGAACTCAAGTGTAATCCCAATAAGCAGCAGGGAGAGAAATGGTGTCTGAGTAAATACAATTGCTCGCTCCTACTGAGCAAACTGACCTAAACCAGTTTTCAACCAAACTTCTACATTAATCAGACTCTGCAAGGCCCGATGCCTGCTTTCACCACTTGTCAGAACATAAATTAGATTCTCATTACCAATCAATACTTACAACTGGCTTACCTGTTTTAAACAGGTATAAATGGATATAGGACCTTACTTGCCTTCAAGGTTTCCTCAGTGCCTGAGCCTATTATGTAACTGGCGCTAATCTAAAAAAGGAAGGGAGAAGTTTGGTAACATTACTGGTCAAGGATTTTCCCAAGCAGCTGCATGTAGTCTATGACAATATGTAGTCAATACAAATTGGCTTCTATTGTAAGGGTGTAGCATGTGCACTAGTCAAACGTGACACATGTGCTCAGGTCAGAGCTTGGACCACAGATAAAATATAGCCCCAGATGATTTGACCTGGACTGTGAGCTTGTGTTGTTTTTAATCCATGTGCAATCCTGCCCTCTAATTGGCTGCAATGCAGATATGGCACTAACCTGAAAGTGTATTCAGCGGCCAAACTGTTTCATTATATGCTAGAGCAGGAACCACTGCAGGGGAACCCAATTCACCAAAAAGCCCTTGGGCTGGGGCTGTTTTGCACCCAAAGCATTATGGCATCTGGACTGCCACCCAGCCCAGTCAGGGCATGGCACCAACAGGCTCGCAGTGGGCTATATGGGGAAGGGAAGGGCTTTTTACCAACCATGGGCACAATATCAAGTAGCATATGCGCAGTCAGGTAACACTACAAGCAGCAGGACCACTAACTGCTACTTCCCAGCACACAGGTGCAGTTTCTGCACAACAGGCCACCGCGCCACCCCTGCAAGACTGAGAGCCCCTCTCCCCCACTTACAGTCCTTCCCAGGTGGGGAAGTCCAACCAGCCTCAGGCATGGGATTTCCTCTTGTGCATTTGACTGTCTTGTCCCAGCTCTGTCCTCTCCCTGGTCTGGTGTCATTGAGAGATGTTCCTCAGACCTCGCCTAGCACAGCAGTGGCATGTTTTCCTGAGCTAAGAGAAGCCCTTGTCCAAGGTAAGAAACTTTCTGTAGGGTGCAGAGCTGGGCTGGTCAATCCTTTATGCCTGCAGCCAGGGCTGGAGGGGGCTCCTGTCCCTTGGCAGGCAGTTTTGGTGGCTGAAGATGACATGGAGGATGCAGGATATTCACTCAGGAGTAAATTGGAAAGGGAGATTATCCTCATCACAGGGCACAGCCCCACAGGGAGCCAAGAGCTTTCCCTGGCACAAGGAGCCAGTCTATCACCTTCTAGCAATGCCGTAAGGGACAGGCTGAACACCTGTCACAGCTCTCCTCTCTGGGCAGAAGGACCTTTTGGTCTGGAGGTTTCACACTAGCACACTCCCAGAGATATACCGGACAAGGTCAAAGAAAAGCCTCTGGAGCAGCAGGTGGAGTCTTCTCAAGGGCTGGTCTGGGCCTGTCTCCCCTGCTCAGATAAGCGGGAAAGCTTCACTAGGGCAGAGAAGCGCAGCTACCAACAGTGGTCTGCAGACCAGCACTTCAGGCCCTCTTTCCATACCTGGGCTCAGGGCCCTGAGGCCCTTAAAGACAAGGACCATGCCCTGGAACATTTGCCCCTGGGAGGGCAGTTGAGGGAGTGGAGGGCCTGTCTCAGGTGCTTGTGGGCGTCGAGGTTTCCAAGGAGACGTGCTGCAATGTTCCATACCAGCTGGACTTTGTTGATGGCTGCTTGCCCAAGGCTGTTGCTCTGCTGCAGCCCAGCCAAGGGAGGCGTGAATAATCCCAGCATGCTAACATGAGACAGACTTGTGCAGTGGCAGGTCAGGAACCTGAGAAACCAAAATCCTCCCCCCACCTATCTTCAAATTAGTGGAACAGGTAACATGCAAAGTCCTCCCTGCTGGGGACTGCCCGGAGCACTAGCTGAGGGGGCAAAGAGGACACCCTGCAACTTTGTTCCCACATTCCTCAGTGGCAGGGATGTTACATTTCATTTAATCAACTAGTCGGTGGATTTGCCATCGACTAGTTGATAAGCGGGGGAGCCACAGCAGGGTTAGCTCACGGCCCTGGACGCTAACTCCACTGCAGTTCTTTTAAATGTGTTCTTCTTTAAGAGGCTGGAGCACAGTAGGCGGGACGTGGCATGAGCCAGGACAGCTGATTCAGGTCCTGGGCTGCTGCTGCTGCCCCCACCCCCGCCCTTCTGATTTTTAAATTTATGAAGAGTTGGCAGGCCCCCCGCAGAGACAGCGCTGAGGGGAACTAACTTTTAAGCCAGCTAACGGGCTCCTGCTCCCCTCCCTTGCTGCCTCTGATAGAGGTAGCAAGGGGTGGGGGAGGCAACTAGCCCAGGGACTAGTTGACTAGCCGATTAGCTTTTGCTTACATCCCTACCCAGTGGCCACCTGTTGCTTTTTGTAAGTTGATATGGACAGGGACAGTCTTTCCCTTTTGCACAACACTCCCTGATGGGACCTCTAGGCACCAACTCTACAAATAAATAACGACCAAGTCTTTCTCCCACAGGCGCTCGCTCTCTCAGAAGACAGCCACGGCAGCCAGTCTCTGTTGTTTCCACCCACTGGGACGAGAGGTTAGGACTGCAGCACATCTGCTTGTACATGATGGCAAGGAACGTGAAAGCCGAGTCAGACCAGACCAGTGCTTGTCTGCAGGCGTTTCTCGTTTCACATAGTTATAAGCCAGGACAAGGGGCCCCCCGTGTTGCCTAAACATATCCTGGGAGATCACTGGAATGTGGGCATGGAGAAGTCTTTCTAGCATCACTTAAGCAACACCTGCACTCCCAAGCTACAGAGGCGAACAAAACAACGACAACGCACATTACTTCATCTGAACTGAGCTAAATGTATCAAAAACATGAAGAGGAAATACCGAAGTAGTAACTAGCTACCAAAAACACCAGCCTGCTTTACCACAGAAGGTAACGCGGAGGGTCAGAAGGAAATACTTTGGGCACAGTATCCCCCCACCCAGAACAGTTATACAGCCAGACTGTCCATGTCTGTAACTTCCCCGGGTACCTAGTATATTCGGCGTGTACTGTAATCTAGCACTAGGCTCGCAGCGCCAAGCAGAGCAGGATCCGCCAGATTTGAGACAACCACGTCCACTGTCTGAACAGAGAACATAGCCTGCCGACTGATCACATCTTTGACAATGTTAACGTAATGGCCTGCCAGGACACCAGAAAGGATCACCAGAGAGGGGTTCATGGTATGCAGGATGTTCACCACGCCAAGGCCTAGCGCTGTTCCAGCTGCAAAGACAAAGGAAAGACATTACAGCAAAAAGGCAGCATCACAGAAGCACGTGAGCATCAGGGTCTGACCTAGTGTCTCTAAACACATTAATTACTCCTAGGGGCAGTTTGCACCATTGCATGCAGACAGAATTCATGCCCCCCACACTTGTCTTTGTGTCCCAGCCGAAAAAGGACTTTCAGACAGGGAAGCAAAGGGAACCTGCAGGACTGGTCCTGTGCCCCTCCCCGGTAATGCAGGCACGTCATTTTGGGTGTCCGGAGCAGCCACTGGAGATGTAAATTACTGCGGGAAAGGGAGTGGAAGCCGGGGCAGGGCTAAGGACACCCCAGCCAGTGGCACCTACATGGGCCCACTCTCAACTCCTCTCTCCTTGCAAGGATCCACTCCCAGAAAACTTCCCAGGCTGCAGGAAGCTCCACACCCTCAGCATCGCTTCCCAACCCCATCGCTTCTCAGCCACAGTGGGAGGGGTCACTGTCTGGGGAGCTGCTTCCTGTTCCACCCCAACTTTGGTGCTTTGGATACACCCCCCATATCCAGATCTCTCAAAGAAGCATCATCCCCTCCATGAGCCATGCACCCCTGCACCCAGATCTCCACCCTGACCAGCTCCCTGCAACCAGGGCCCCACTATCCTGAGTCCTACCGGGTGCACCTGGACCAAACTCCACTCATCTAGGACCCAACTCTGCCCCACCCCTGAAGTCTCTCACCCCCAGACCCTGCCAAATAAGCCTCCCCCTCTGCTGAGCCCCAGCTACCTTCACCTGGATCCCACTGCCGCACCCCACTGCTCCTGCACCAGGACACCCCAACGAGTCCCTGTGCATTCAGATTGCCCCACAGAAAACCCTCTCACCCCATACCTGGATCCCCCACCCTAGGATCCTGGTATGCCAGGCACAGAAGGGCAGGGCCCCGGGATGTTTCTGTGGCAGGCCTGCCTGGCCCATGCACTGTGCCAGGTGCAGTCACCTCCAAAGGCTACATCTCAAGAAGGTGGGGGGGGGGAGGCCCTGCAGGGCAACTCCCATCTCTGTGCAGCCAGTGGCCTGTGTTTCCCACTGCCACGCTGGAGCCTCCACATTTATTTACTGACAAGCTGGTAGCACTTCAAACTAGTGTGTGCAGAATTCTGAGCCTGGCTGGTGCAGATTCCCCCAAGAGGAATTAATACTGTGGTCAGGAAAGCTCTTCATTCCACATGGCAGGCGTGATAGGAACACTGCGATTGCCACAGAACGTAGTCTTGCTTAAGAGTGCGCAATACTAAGATAGCTAGCTGGGACTCTCGTGCTCACCAGCCTCTTTTCTTGTCGGAGCAAATGAAACATTTAATTATTTAGAGCCAAGAACGTTATACCTGAGAGAGGTAAGTCAACCCACATCACTACACTTGGGAGAACAAAGGAAGGAAAATGCTATTCTACCGCCCTTGTTTCTATTATACTGGTTACGCATAAAGAAACTGGTTAATTCTTGTGTTGAAGTCTCAGAGTTGTGCATGATAAAGTATTGCATAAATAGGAACAATGCTTCACAGAAACTGTTTCATTCTGGTTGCCTAGCACATACATCTGTTGGCCTATCAGTGAAGCGTCCCATAATTTCCCATACCATTATGGAAGAACCTGACCTTTCAGTGTCAAGCCAGCGCTACCCCAGAAATCCCAAAAGAAACAGCAAAGGGCCCCATGACCAGGCAATCTGTCATCTGTCTGTTTAACCAAAGTCCCAGAATACAGTTTGTTGCAGAGGATCACTAGCAGTGTTCCCTGTAAACCGAGTGCTTGTGCAGCTGCTACACAATGCTAGGTTTTGTTTTTACTGGTAGTGCACATTTGCACATGCCTCAGTGCACATAATAAAATGTATTCCACAGACAAATGGAAAAGATTAGAGGGAACATTGATCATTAGCCTGTCTCTTCACAACCCCCCCTTCCTCCCCACCACTAATCACTGCTACCACTTCTGTACATCACTGTCAAGCCTACAGGGCCAGATCCCTCACTTAAGTGAGAGTAAGCATAGTTCTGCAGAGAGCAGCAGAGCCTCATTGCGGATTTGGCCTCCTGGTGAATTTTAGAGCTCTGAGAATTTTCCTCTCGCCGTTAAGAGGACTTCCCATCTCGGTCTATGTTCTTACCTGTTCTGAGAATGCTCTCAGCCTTCGCATTGCCAAGTTTAGCTGCCTGAATCAGATGCACGGCACTAATGGTCTCTTCCATCTTTATGGACATTCCTCCCACTAACAACAGCTCCTCTGCTTGGGGGGGAAGAGAACGCCAAGAGGGAAACATTAATCACAACCCTGCAATTAGGATAACAATGTAACAGGGTATGTGCATCTACGTTATTCACATGTAAAAGGGAAGGGACAGCTTTCAAAAAGAGAGACCTTATTTAGAAACTTAATTGGATTCTGCAAACATACACGGGAGTGGTGCCACTAAGATCAACACAGCTAGTCAGGTGCTTAGTTATTCACGTATCTAGGGCCTAAATGACAACAGCTCCATTATGATAGCACACTGGTTTGCGCTAACAATCAGTCACTCCAAATATAGATGCGAAACATAATTAAGGGCAGAAACTGTCCACATTTCATTCAAGTCTAGGGAGCTGTTGATGAAAGGTTCCAATTCCACCAGGAACAAACAGCTGAGTTCACCAACAGGACACAGCCAAAACAGCCAAGTGGCTAGCAAGAAGATTAAGTAATCTGCAGGAGTAGAAATAATCTGTCACTGAGGTAGTCCAAAATCCAAGCTGTACAAAGATGCTTTAGCCGAGAGAAATGCAGTCTTCCAAAGCTCACATGTAAGTTGCCTTTACAAGTATCACAATATTGCTGTAATGCTCTCAGTGCTGTAAGCACAAATGGGGGGGGGAGGGGGTTACCAACCCTGAAACTAGGGAAAATACATTTGAATGAAATCTGAAGTAAAGCTAGGATCTGACTTCAGTGGGAGCAGAATTAGGACCAGTGCAGCACTTTCAAAAAAACCCACCCCCATATGCTCTCTCTCTATGGAGGTGTCACACATATTAAACCTGCGATCCAATTTCACCATTGCTGATGTGCCTTCAGAATGCTTGTTACAAATGGTGGCCCCAGTGGCATGCCCAGCATTTCAGGCTAGAAGCTCTTTGCGTGCCCAAGTAGTATTATAGAAGACTGAGCAATTAAATTTTTTTAAATGGTAAAATAAATAAATAAATACACACACACACACACCATCATGTAGTTTTTTAGCTTCCCTCTGTAGGGCTATTCCAGAGGCATATGCTTCTATACACCCATGGCTCCCACACAGACATTCTGGTCCTTCTAACGACACCACAATGTGTCCAAGTTCAGCAGCACAGAAGGAACTTCCATGGACCAATTCATGCTGATGAATGATTCCACCTCCAATTCCTGTAAGCGTATACAAACTTCTGACAGTAAAAGAACAGTCAAATAAAAGGAGTAGTCATTACAAATCTCTTCTCTGCTTAATGCACGTGGTGCAAGCAAATGCATAAGGCTCCTTTGTCCCTGGATGGCAACATGCATAGTTAGGGCCCTACCAAATTCACGGTCCATTTTAGTCACTTTCATGGTCATAGGATTTGAAAAATGGTCAATGTCACGATTTCAGCTATTTAAATCTGAAATTCCAGTGTTATAATTGTAGGGATCCTGACCCAAAAAATGAGTAGTGTGTGGGAGGGGAGCGGAGGGAGAGGGATCCGCAAGGTTATCGTAGGATGAGCAGTTGCAGAGGGGCAGCTGCCAGCTGGGAGTCCGCTTCTGAAAGCGGAGCTGCCACCAACAGCAGCACAGAAGAAAGGATGGCCTGGCATAGTAATGCCACCTAGCTGTGCTGCCGCTGGGAGGCATCGCCTTCAGAACGGGGTGCCCAGCTCCCGAGGCAGACAGAAGTAAGGGTGGCAATACCTTAATACGCACCCCGCAGCTCCCTTTTGGATCAGACCCCAATTTTGAGCAGGGTAGAAGCACACAAAAAGACCAGATTTTCGGGGGTGGGGTGGGTGGAGAGGACCAGAGTCAAGAGTCCTTGATCCATTTTTCATAGCTATGAATTTGGTAGGATCCTACAGTTAATTGGTCCCTTTGTGGTATAATATATTCATGAGATATCCAGCCAAAGAGGGTCACGGAGAAGCACCTGTAGAAATCATGTCTCAGTCTGCGAGTTCACAGCTCCTGTCACAGCAGTCCTACGTTCTTTATACATGAAACAAAATACCTACTTCCCCCTTAAACACTTTTCTCTGAAAAATCTTATCAAGTCTTGTAAACAGTAAAAGTAAACCAAGTCAGTCAGCCACATCCTGCAAAGCTGGTGCATCTCGAATGCTTAGCCTAGATCTAGTATAAAATTGTGCTTTGCATATACACTATTGTTTCCTATTTATTAGCACTCTTCCCTCCATACTTCTGATGGCAGTGGGCAGGCCTGGGTGTCACAATGCAGTGGTGGTGATATTGGATATGTGAAGTCAGATTCCTTAGCTCAAGATCAGTCCAGATTATATCTTTTCAGATCTAGTCTACACTGGTGGAGACATCCTAGTCAAGCATGTACACTTCCCATGGAGAAGTGCTAGCTACTCATGTCTTAGTACAGTACGGAAGAAGTGGGAAAAGCAAGTCAAAAAGAAAGCAAAGTCTAAAATGCCAGATCGTTCATATCTCTGTGCTTATAACTCAGTTCTAGACTCAACTTCTTTTCTGAATTGAGTCATCTTTAGATATGGATAAGTACACTGAACTAAATAAGGCTGCTAGAGTCTAGGAGCTCCTGAAGAAGTTACTCACCTTGTGTAGTAACAATGATTCTTTGAGATGTGTGTCCCGGTGGGTGCTCCACTCTAAGTGTCGGGCTCGTCCCGCGCCACAGATCGGAGAATCGTCAGCAGTAGTCCAGCCAGACCGCGCATGCGCAGCAGGTGTCATGCGCCGTTCGTGCCGACTCTGAGCATGTGCGGTCCGGCTCCCACCAGTTCCCCCTAAGCAGAGAATATCTGAAAAACACAAGAAGAGACTCCAAAGCGGGGAGGAGGGCAGGTCGTGGAGCACCCATGGGGGGGGACACATCTCGAAGAACTATCGTTACTGCACAAGGTGAGTAACTTCTTCTTCTTCTTCAAGTGGTGCCCCCATGGGTGCTCCACTCTAGGTGACTTCAGAGCAGTAGTCTAGCCTATGGAGGTGGGTATCGGAGTTATGACCTCTTTGCCATGGCCAAGACTGCGGAGGTGACTGCCGAGTCACGAATGGAAGTGTTGACAGCATAATGTTTCGCGAACGTGAATTTGGATGACCATGTAGCCACACGGCAGATGTATGGTAAGGAGACCCCCTTAAGGAAGGTTGTGGAAGTTGCTACCGCTCTGGTTGAATATGCTCTCAGTGTTCGAGAGGGGGTCTTATTTTGTAACGAGTAGCAGCATAAAATTCAGGAGACAATTTTCAAAATGCACTATGCTGTCAGAGGTTGGCCTTTGGAACGCTTGGCGGTGGATAGTAGCAAACGTTGGGATTTACAGAAAGCTCGTGTTCTGTCCAAGTAAAACGCGAGAGTCCAGCGAACATCCAGGGTGTGTAGGTGAGACTCATGGAGAGCCAAGTGCCATTTAGGGTAAAAGGTTGGGAGTACGATGGGCTCGTTAACGTGAAACTCCGAATTCACCTTGGGGAGGAAGCTGGGATGAGGACATAGTATCACTCCCTGGTTGTTGAAAAGAGTATATGGCGGTGTTGCTGAGAAAGCAGCAAGTTTACCCACCCTGCGTACAGAGGTAATAGCCAGGAGGAAGGTGACCTTCATAGTGAGTGTAGGCAGATCAGATGGCACCATTGACTCGAAGGGGGGACAGGTTAGAGCATCTAAAACTAACTCCAAGTCCCACACATCTGCAGGTTCCCTGTACGGGGGGGTATAAGTTTGCGAGTCCCTTTAAGAATCTCTTGGTCATTGGATGGGAGAATAGTGAGTAACCCTCTATCAGAAGTCGAAAGGCAGAGATCACTGCAAGGTGGACTTGGATAGAGGAATGCATTAAACCTGATCTTTGTAATTGTAAGGCATAATCGAGGATATGCTGGATGGAAAGAGAATTGGGATCGAGGTTGTTGTCATAGCACCAGGATTGGAAACAGTGCCATTTGTACAGGTAAGTAATATGTGTGGAATCCCTTCTACTATGCAGGCAGTGGATCTGTGGGTGTACGATTCTTCCTTGCTGCTGTGTCAGGAGGTCGTGTCGGTATGGTAAGTGGTACGGAGAACATATGGACATCCGGAGGAGGAATGGGAGCCATGTCTGGCGGGGCCAGAAGGGGGCTATGAGAATGACTTTGGCATTGTCTCTGGCCATTTTCTCCAAGACTTTGGGAATCAGTGGAATCGGAGGAAAAGCGAACAGCAGTTGATGACTCCAGTCAATCAGGAAGGAATCTCTCAGAGATTTTGGTACAATGCCACTCCGGAACAGTAAGAGGGGCACTTCATATTGTGGTACATTGCAAATAGATCTATGGCGGGATACCACCCATCTTCAGAAGATGTGTCGTGTTACCTCCGAATTCAACTGCCACTCGTGTTGATGGATCAGGTGCCTGCTGAGAGTATCGGCAATGACATTGTAACATACCTGCTGGGCAAAGACAATGATGGAGATATTGTGATGGATACCAGTTCCATAAACGTGCCACCTCTGCGCAAAGGGATCGTGAATGGGCACCACCCTGGCAGTTGATGTAGTATACTGCCATCATGTTGTTCGAGAGAATTTGAATAGAGTGGCCTTGGATATTGGATAGGAAATGCTTGCAGGTACTGACTATTGCTCTCAGCTCAAGGAAATTGATGTGTTGGAGGGACTCCTGAGCGGACCATCGGCCTTGAATTTGGTAATCTCCAAGGTGGGCTCCCCAGCCCAGCAAGGATGAGTCTGTTGTGATCTGTACCGTGGTTTGTGGACAATGGAAAGGAACGCCAGCGAGCATGTTTGTGAGGGTACTCCACCATGTTAGAGATTTCTGTACCATAGGAGGGACGGACACCGTTCTGTGAAGATCGTGATTGCCTGGTCGATAAATCAAAGCTAACCAATGCTGGAGGCATCTGAGGTGTAGCCTTGCATGCTGCACCATATACACGGTGGCAGCCACATGACCCATAAGTCTCAGGCAGGTATGTATCGAGGTCTTGGGGCTCGTGGAAAGTGTCTGTACAAATTCTTGAATTACCCGGAATATTGATAGGGTCAGGTAAGCTCTGGCCATGGTAGAATCCAGTTGTGCTCCGATGAACTCGAGGGATTGTTGTGAAGTCGTGGAAGAGTTTGCAAGACTGATTATGAGCCGAAGAGCATTGAATAGCGCTTGTGTGATGTTGATCACTTGTGATGCCTCCTCCAGAGTAGGCTTGATTAGGCAATTGTCCAGATACGGAAATATTATAATATCTTGTCAGCTGAGATACATGGCCACTACCGCCAACGTCTTTGAGAAAACTCTGGGCGCTGATGAAAGGCCGAAAGGAAGAACTCTGTATTGAAAATGTTCGTCACCTACCAGGAACCTGAAGAAACATTTGTAAGCCGGATGTATGGTCATGTGAAAGTAGGCATCCTGTAAGTCGAGGGACACAAACCAATCCCTTGTATTGAGTGCTGGAATGATGGAAGCCAGTGTCACCATCCTGAACCTGTGCTTTCAAAGGTATCGATTGAGTCGTCAGAGGTCCAATATTGGTCTCCACCCTCCTGACTTTTTCTGGGTAAGGAAATAACAGGAATAGAATCCCTTGCCCCGGAACTGTTTGGGCACCCTCTCTACAGCGCCGATCGCAAGTAGGTGGAGAACCTCTGTTTTTAAGAGAGGCTCGTGCGAAGGATCCCTGAATAGGGACGGGGAGGGGGCAGGTGTCTGCCATATCTCATCAGCTACCTCAAGTATCGCGTCATCCAGAGGTAATGCCACCTTTGATTTTTGGGATGACTAAGTTTTTAAGGAGCCTGTGCTGTTTTTGCTGGACTTGGGTCAGCTGTACCTCTTGGCTGAGTCTAGATTGCATCCCTTTTCCGTAAAAGGGATGCAAATTAGACATCGCAATTGCAAATGAAGCGCGGATTTAAATCTTCCCCGCTTCATTTGCATAAACATGGCTACCGCTTTTTTCCGGCTCGGGACTTTGCCGGCAAAAAGCGCCAGTCTAGACGGGGATCTTTCAGAAACTAAAGCCTTTTCTGAAAGATCCCTTATTCCTGATTTTAAGAGGAATAAGGGATCTTTCGGAAAAGGCTTTATTTTCTGAAAGATCCGGAAAAAAGCGGCAGCCATGTTTATGCAAATGAAGCGGGGAAGATTTAAATCCCCGCTTCATTTGCAATTGCGATGTGTCTAATTTGCATCCCTTTTACGGAAAAGGGATGCAATCTAGACACAGCCCTTGAGATTCCGCCATGCGCTTGAATAGGTCTTGAAATTGGCAGGCATTGTCGGTGGGTGAACAGTCATCGGGAAAGACTGCCTCATCTGGGGTGCCATGCTGCCT